CCCAGCAGGTCCTTTCGTGCGGCTACCACTGTCGGTGTTGCGTACTCCGATTCTGATCTCTGTATCAGTCCTGCTTCTAGCAACTCCTTGCATTTTTCCTTGCAGATGTCCTCATCCCCGGGTGTCATTCTCCGCTTCCTTTGAAACACCGGCTCGTCCGTGACCAGCTTCAACTCCATCTCCTTCACTGAGCACTTTCCTAACTCCTGTAAGGTAAACGCAAAGGCATGCCTATACCTGGCCAGCACCTCCTGCATTGCCTTCTTCCCTTGTTCGCTCATTGCATTTCCCACAACCCACGCTGGCTCTTCCTGAACTGCCACACACGCCCATGCCCCCACCTTTTTCACCCCTTCCTCCTTCCTTCGCGGTTTCTGCTCCCCTTCCAGCACCAGCCCTCTCCACATTCGCCGCATCAGCCACTGCATGACCTGACCGTCCATAGCCTGTCCTAACGCTTTCCTCCTTTCCTGTTTCGTCACCCCTGCTGCCTTGGTTATGTCTTCCCCATACCCCATCGCCAGCTCCCGCTCCAGTGCCGTTGGTTCCTCCCACTTCTTCGTCCTATGATCATACACCATGCCTTCCCCTGGCATTCCTCCTTCCTCCCTAAACCCTGCTGCCCCCTTGTACCCCACCAATGTCGGCCAGGCCCTGCGTACTGCCCCCACCTTGTTGCATGGGCACTGTGTCTCGTGCCTGCCCGTCTTCACCGGCGCCGCTGTCCTGCCTGGCTCTAATATCTCTTGCACCGTCCTGCTCCAGTCCCTTCGTATCCCATCCAGCTCCTTCTGCAGTTGCTCTTCCGTCACGACATTTTGCCAATACCTTCTGACACGGTGAGCCCGTGCCCCCAGCCTGGCCGCGTCACACCTTACCCCCTTCCCCAGCTTCCATGTTACTAACTCTCGGATCTTTCTGACTGGTTCCCGGCAATCCCCCTCCATGTCCAGGTGCTCCAGTAGGTACACCACCTTCTCCTGTCTTTCTCTGATCCAGTCAATGATGCACAGCAGATTAATTAGCAGTGCTCCCCTTGGATCGTCCAACCCCTTTCCCTTCCCCGCTCTTGTGACGGCTTGGCACTCCCACCCTGCTACCAGCAGATCCACGTGCCCCCAGCCCCTCACCACTTCTCGTGTCACGTCCCTCACATCGGTCAACGTCCCTGCCATAGCTTTGCTTATCACTGCTTCCTCCAGTAGTTCAGGATGCTCCTTCTGCAATCTCTTTGCATGTCGTTCAGCCATCTTTCTCACTTGTCCGTCTTTTTCCACATATATCCACTCCTTCACCGCTACTCCCGCTCTGAGCACCGCTGCCAGCCCCGCTCCTATTCCCCCGAACAGCTCCACCAGCCTGATTGGTTCCTGCCATGCATTAGCTATCGCTGCTTCACCCACTAGGCCCGCTCTCCCTCTTCCCTCGCTTCCCGCTTGCTCAGCCGTGTACGCTCTTTTTGGCTCCTGTTTAGTGAATTGCACAGGCAGCTCACCCGTCCTGCTCCCCCGCACCCGCTTCCGAAACTTCACTTTCTCCTTCCAGGTGCAGATGGTCATCCCCACGCCCCAAATCAGGTCTGTCCCCAGCAGCACGTCAAAATCTTCCGAGTCTGATATCCCGCATTGTAGCCGTATACTAGTCTGCTCCTCTCTCCCCGGCATTAGGACTATTTCCACTAGGTCCCTTGTACATGGCAGCCACTTGGGCTCGCCTCCTTCCGCGGTCATTACCTGCATTCCTCGCTTTATGTATTGCCCTGCTTCAGTCAGCCCCAGCTTCCGTGCTAGCCTTTTTCCCAGCATCACGCTCTGCGCTTCCGTGTCCAAGATTGTTGTCTTTGCTATCTCTCCACCTACTGCCACCGTTCCTGCATCTGCCACTAGCACGGTTGCCTGGCTAGCTAGCCGATCCTTGGGATGTCTTGCTGGCTCTTCTCCTTCCTCACCCTTCTCCCCTGGCCTTTGTTTCGGTCTGCCCCTTTCCTTGGTCATGTGGTCCTTTCTCCCATCCCTGCCCCCGCTGCGCAGGCCCAGCTCCTCTCTGCTGCGGAGCACCATGAAATTGTATTCCGGCTCTGGTTCCTCTATTGCTTCTGCTTCGTCATCGTCTTCCCTGGCATATAACCCTGCCTCCTTCTCCTTTTTCCCACCCATTGCCTGTAGCTGCGCCTGTAGCCTGCCTATCTGACCCTCTATGTCTTCTGGAGTCCTCCTCGGCCCCCCTGTGCGTTGGTAACAGTCCTTTCCTTTGTGCCCCCGCTTCCCACAGACTTCGCATGTTGGTGCATCCGGGCAGTCCTTGCGGCGGTGTCCCGGCTTCCCGCAGGTGTCACAGTTCCTACAATTCCTCATCAGATGCCCCGGCTGCTTGCATCGGTGGCAGGTGCGCGTCTCAGCTCCTCTCTCCGCTCGGCCATCCTCCCTTCCTCCCATCTCCGGCACTGCTGCTGCTGCCCAAGCGGGGTTCCTCTTCTCAGTCGGCCTCGTTAGGTACACCTCGTACTTCCGCTGCGCCAACTCCACTCTCTCTGCTAGCTCAAACACCTCTTCAGGTGTCGCCTCAGCCCCCAGCTCGTATACTCGCATCCTCAAGCCTCCTGCCAGCCCCTTGTCTAAGCCGTTCAAGAATTTGCTAATGATCATACTGCTGTCAGTGCACACCACGTCCTCTGCTAGGTTCATCAACCGCCCGTAGTACGTTAGAAGTGATTCCTCATCTCGACGCCTGAACTCCTGAAACTCCCTAATGCGCTGGGCCGTGTGCCCTGGAAACTGCTTCCGCAGTCGATCCAGGAACAGTACTGTTGGGTCCTCGCCATCCTCCTCTGCCCTCCTCAACCATTCTCCGATTTTCATGCGGTACAGTGTCTCCGCCTCCCCTCCCAGTGTGTTTGGCAGGCTTAAGAAGAACTCGATAGGGTCCATACCGCTCCGGTCACACCTGTACTTAACATTGCTGATCTGCATCAAGTAGTTCTTCAGGCTCGGGCCAGTCCCTTCATTCCCCGTGAAGCGCACCGGTACCTCCACTCTTGGCTGCGCCGTCGCGGCCCATCTGCCTGTGTCCCAGCTTCCTGATTCTCCCCGAGCTGACTGCACAGCTCCCCGCTGCCTCCCCTTTTCTTCTCTGCTTCCCGTACTGGTCCCGTACAGCACTCGCTCCAGCCCCTCGCGAGCTGCTCTCGCTCCTCCAGATCCTTCTCCGTATGGCCGTGGCCTCCTGTCGTACTTGGGCTCCTCCTCCTCTCATCTCCGTGATCTTCTTTGCGCCTTTCCGCACTATCTCGCCATTCTGATTTCCACGCAGGCGCGCGCTCCTGGTGCCGCCGCTCAGGCTCTCCTCGTCGCCATCCTCTTTCTTCTGTTCTTGAACCATTCGGCGACCGCTGGCTTCTTTCCTTGTCACGCCTTTCCGCATCCTGCCTTCGCTCCCTTCCGCGCGGGATTCTCTGGCGCCGATCCTCGTAGTCTTCCTCCTCTTCACGATCCTCGCGCTCCGCCCCTTGCCCTTCACCCGCCGCCATACGTCGTCTCCGCTCATACCTCAGTCCTGGTTCAGGCGAGCGGAACACACCCGCATGCGCGTTACGTCCTCCTTCGCCCTCCCGGTTTGCCTTCGACCGGCGTTCCGCCCCTTGGCGCTTCCTCGCGGCGCGTTATTTTCACGCCGCCTCACTGGTGAGTGCTCCTCGGCCTTGCCTTCTGCCTCGTGCTTCCGCGTTCCGCCGCGTCGGCTTGGTTCCTCATCATCCTTCTCTGCATCTCCTTGCCTTCCTCCTCCCCGCGCAGTGGGGGAATCTTCTCCGTCTTGGCTCTTGGGATTTTCGCCGCCCCGCGCAGTCGGGGATTCTCCATCTTCGCCAATTTCGCCGTGCTGCATGCCGCCTTGCGCACCTGTCGCGTCTTCATTTTCTTCCGCGCCACGACGCAGCTCGCGTTCTGCCTCTGACGCTTCCTCATGGTATTCTTCTTCGTCCGCTTCACTCGCCGAATCCAGCGACTGCATGTCGACGTCGCCATCGTATTGGCGCGCGCGTCCTCCGTGCTGTCCCTCCGGCAGATTCCACGGATCGCTCCTCGCTGGCCTTCTCCACTGCTCAGATCTGACGCGCGGATCCGATCCGTCATCATCACGGTGCCTGCCCGTAGGTGTCACCAAGTCCGCGCGGTACGCCGCTCTGCGGGGCGAGCGCGTTGGCGACCTCCCGCGCTCCGATGCGCGCCTCCTCCGCGACGGTGAACGCTCCCGCCGTGAGTACGTCCGCTGCTCGCGCAGTTCATGGCGATCCATGTCGCCTGCACTTCTCTCGTTTGTGAGAGATTCGGCTCCCACAGCTGGCTACCAAGAGTGGCGTCTGTCACCTGGCTGCTGTAGCTTAGAACGGTAACATAAGTCCACTATGCACTGGTAAACAAACGAGAGAACAAGAGTACTATGCTAGGCTAGGCTTACTTATGCTAGGCCACCCAGTCGCGAGATTCTTAGCGTGATGGGTTGGGCTCGAGCCGCCTTGGCCTTGTATTGGCCTCGTGCCAGATTTCCTGTCTCTCGAGGGCCCTGGAATTGTGCCCGCAGCGCCTTGCAATCCCCCATACTACCAACTTCGCGCTTCTCCCAATGTCCCAACTACCTAGTGTACAAACTGAATGACAATTACTACACTGCTTCTACACCCCAGTTAGCACAGTTACAGAATATAATGCTCTTACCATGATATTCAGTGACACCACTCCCGGGATTCCTGTGTACCTGTCTGCTACCTCCACCTTAGGCGTCGAGGTTCTGCTCCATCTCTGTTCCTTCTCTTCAGGCTCCCAAGTCTGCGCAGCGATTTCGGCCGCGGCCTTGCTTGCCACTAGCTCGCGAGGCGCAGGAGAGCCTGCCGTTCTGCCGCTTTTCCGAACGTTTCCAGTTCTCCTTAGCTTCTAGGGTTCCTTGATTCATGCCTGGCATGCGCAACGGCGAACGCTCCTCTCCGCGGGCCTCCCACCTCGCCCATGCTCCTTCGGCCCACTTGGCTACGGGCGGCGTTTCTCCTGGGTCGGACGTTGCGTGGCGAGCCTCTGGCGGACCGGTTTCTACTTCGCGCGTGCGCTGTTGTGGCGTTCGGTAGGTTGGGGATGCGGATCTCCGCATCGCAAGGCTGGTTGCGTCACCTCGCCTATCTCTGTCTTCGCTAGCTTGAGCCCTCGAGCTCGGTTCTGGTAACACGCGTGCCGCTCCTTCCTGTCGGTATCGTCCTCCTGAGCGTAGGCGATATCTATCGTTCATTTCCTAGCTCAAGTCGATCAGCACTTTGCTTGTTTGTTCAAAAGTTGCAAGCCCATGGCTCTCCAGATCGGTCACTTGTCCTAGCTCGGCAGACTCAAATCAGCCTTGCCTGCTCAATCTCCAGGTTTGCTTAGGTTGGCTTCACCTCTCCCAGCTAGAAGGTTCGCCAGCGTTGGTAACGGATTATAAGTGAGAACAAACAAGCAAACTGAGCTACTCTGCCTAGCTACCTCGCTAAGTACCTCGTTTTGCTTACCGTTGCTTCTGAACGGTCCTTTCGCCCGCCTTCGCTACTTTGCCTTCCCGCCACTCTTTTCGGTCGGGCATTGTCCCTGCTATTAGGTTCTGCAATATCCTGTTCTTTTCTAGTTTTTATATATGCAATGCTATTCTACTTAATCATCTTAAAAACGTGACAACTAGGCTAGGATTGGAACTAGGCTGAAAATTGACAAGGACTAGGACCCAAGGCTCTCTCTCTCTCTCTCTCTCTCTCTCTCTCTCTCTCTCTCTCTCTCTCTCTCTCTCTCTCTCTCTCTCTCTCTCTCTCTCTCTCTCTCTCTCTCTCAAGCAGTCCTTCATTGATGGGTTTATAAGGGATACAGGCATGGTAGGGGCAGGTGCTAGATAATCCTAGGCATTCAAGGCGGGTCTGAAGATGGAGTAGAGGATATTAAGGACGTCAGAAAAGGCGGCGCGAAGGAAAATGCGGCGGTAGCGAACGGGCGGGAGAGTCGCCAGGAGAAGCGGGAAGATCAGGTCTGGGGGCGGCGTCGTTTGTCGGATCTGGAGCGGGAGATTCTCGGTGTGCAACGGGGGGACGGGGTTCCTGCCTCACCCAAGGCGGGAGCTTCCGCTCCCCCCAGGCCTTCCGCTCCCCCTCCCCCTTCCGCGCGCCCGCAGCTTCGCAGAAGGTGGGAACGAACGGGGAAAGCATTGACAGCTTGCCTCGCTATCTCCCCGTTGCGGCCCTCCTAATACGAGTCAAGAAAATTCTACTTTTTTCCTTTTTTTCCCCTCTCTCTCGACAGCAACTCGAGTAGCCTCCTCCTCCATCCCCCCTCTCCCCCCTCAACATCCTCTCCTCCATCCCCCATCTCCCCCCTCAACACCCTCTCCTCCTCCCCCTCTCCCCTCTTAACACCCTCCCCTCCATCCCCCCTCTTCCCCCTCAACACCCTCCCCTCCTCCATCTCCCCTTCCCCCCTCGACATCCTCCCCTCCTCCCCCTCTCCCCCCTCGACATCCTCCCCTCCTCCCCCTCTCCCCCCTCAACACCCTCCCCTCCTCCATCTCCCCTTCCCCCCTCAACACCCTCCCCTCCTCCCCCTTTCCCCCCTCAACTCCCTCCCCTCCTCCCCCTCTCCCCCCTCAACACCCTCCCCTCCTCCATCCCCCCTTCCCCCCTCAACACCCTCTCCTCCTCCATCTCCCCTTCCCCCCTCAACACCCTCCCCTCCACCCCCCCTCTCCCCCCTCATCACCCTCCCCTCCTCCCCCTCTCCCCCCACAACACCCTCCCCTCCTCCCCCTCTCCCCCCTCAACACCCTCCCCTCCTCCATCTCCCCTTCCCCCCTCACCCCCACCCTCCCGCAATTGAGCTGGAAGAGCGCGCAGGGGTGCGGCAAGATTAGAAGGGGTATGGAAGAGTGGAAAGCGGTAACTGGCTCTTGAGTCCACTCAAACCCCTCGCGCCCCTGCCATCTCCCTCTTCTTTCCATGTCTCAGGGACCCTAAGGGTGTATCTCAGTTCACCCTTAGGGTCCCTAAGACTGCTCTTCTTTCCATGTCATAAGGCCACTTCGGGTCATCACTGTACACTTTGGGTCATGAGAGGACCAATGGTATTCGAGTAGTGTTTCTGAAATGCGCCTGATTGGTCTTCCAAGAATCTCGGATGACCCAAACAGTGCATGACCCGAACCAAAGATACGCCCTAATTCCAACCACAAGTCCATTCGCTGTATGAGCAGGGGTATGGGTCTGGGTAGGGAACATAACTTCCCCTACTCCTCTCCCCTTCTTGAGGCGCCTCAAATTTTTGAGGCGATTTTTGAGGCGCCTCAAAACGCTGTATGAGCAGGGGTATGGGTCTGACTTGGAACATAACCTCCCCTACTCCTCTCCCCTTCCCTTCTCCCTCTCCCCGCCTCCCTCCTTCCACCTTGCATCTTTCAGGGACCCTAAATTCGAACCAGAAGTCGATTCTGGATGAACTGGATGAGCAGGGGTTTTGGGCAGCTCAGGGCGGGTATGGAGGAGTGGGAAGCAGTGAATAAATTTTCAGTTGTCTTACACCCCACTTCCCCATGCGCCCACCTCTCCCTCACCTTATCTCAAACCTGCAGGGACCCTAATTCCAACCAGAAGTCCATTTTGGATGAACTGGATGAGCAGGGGTTTGGGCAGCTCAGCGGCGGTGTGGAGGAGTGGGAAGCGGTGAAGTCCGCCAAGAGAGTGGGTGAATGGTTGGAGGAGAAGACTATCAAGAAGGAAGGGGAGGATGAAATGGCAGGTGAGTGTTAAGGGGTGTGAAGGGTGGGTAAAAGAGTATGTGTGAGTGAGAAAGGAGGGTGAATTATGCGAGGGTGGATATGGGTTGGCATAGGAGAAGTTGATAAGGAAGGAGGGAGAGGGGGAGATGGCAGGTAAGTGAGTGAGGGGATGTGAAGGGTGACAGACGCCAGGAAGGGTGAGAGATGAGAGAAGTGGTTCAGGGTTTTGGGTTGAGGACAAAAAGGATTGAGGTTGAGAGAAGTCACTAAGGAAGTGAGCGAGAGAGATCTTGGGACATTTTCCAGTGAGCAGCAGTTGCGTAGGAGTAGGTTTAAGCAACAAGTCACTAAGGCAGTGAGCGAGAGAGTCAAGAGTTAAAAAACTGGCATGGCTCGTCTCAACTCGCCCCCTATCAACAAGCAGCAAGCCGGTTAATCTGCCTTTTAATCTGGTGCTTAATCTGATGGCCTGGCTCGTCAACCCAAGCCTGCTGGCTCGTCAACCCAAGCCTGCTGCCTTGTCGTGGCTCATAACGAGACGAGCCATGCTCTATATCAAGGTTTAGGGTCTGGAATCAGGATTTAGGGTGGCAGCAGTTTTTGGAGTGTAGGAAACTTGCATTTTTTTCGTCTGGAACCATGTTGAAGCAGAATGCCATGCCACTAGAGAGTTCTACTTGTCAGTGGTGGTGGGTGGTGGTGAGTGGTAGCCAGTGATAGTGAGTGGTGGTGAGTGGCAGACTACGGTAATGAGTGGTCGCTGGTGGCTTGTTCAGTGTTGCCACTTCCCATCTTTACTATCCCTCGACACCAGGGCCCCCACTTGGGTTCAGCCTGTGCTGCTTTCAATGTCTGATGTTCGAAACATGTCCTCCTGCCCTTTTCCACCTTCATCCCTCTATGCCAGGTCCCCCGCTTGGGTTTAGTCTCGTTCTGCTTCTGGGAATCTTCCCTGTCTGGCTTTTCCTGGTGCTAGTGGCAGGGGGATGGGTGGAGCTGCCCCCACAATTATCCTCGTTACAGGATCTCCTCACTACCCCCTAGAAGGTTCATATGTGGTACAATGCCATAGGCATCTACCAATGGACTCTTAATACATCCTACCTCCATTCGCCTAGGTTTGGGTTTGGGTATAGATCAGTGACCAAAACTGCAATTGTAATTACCTGTTTATGATCATGTGCCGCATGTGGTTTTCAAACATCCCATAAGTAACTGCACTGTAAAGAAAAGAAGCCATTTCTTTGTGCTGTTGTTTACACGGATAAGAATGGGCTTACAGCCTTACACTGGTTCAGTGATTGCATTGCAAAATAATGTATGCAGTAATAGGACCCACTTAGGGGTATATATATTAACATTAATATCGACATGCTGAACAGCTGGCTGATATGCACTGCAATACTATAACACAGGAGGAAAAAGAATCATCAACCGCAGTAAGATTTTCAGATTGTACTGCATAGTAGTGCCGGTACTGCCCTTGTTGTTACACCCTCCCTCACTGCTGCAAGGTAACATTTCACCAGCTGATTCTGTGATGCCAAACGCTTACATGCAACACTGTGGTGGTTACACACGTGGAATGATCCCCATGCGGGGATAAGCGGCCTGAACAGGACAAGCCACAGGAGAATCGGGGAGGAGTCGGAGTTTTGAATCATTCTTGAAAAATAATTGAGTTGACTCAGAAGTCACCTGTGGGATAAGCAGCCTGAATAAAATAAAGGAATGAAAGAAACATGAAGGGAGTGGGAGTTTAAAAATGTCTAGAAACGGGGTGGGAGGGGGTGTGGGGGGAGGAGGGGAGGGGGGGGGGAACACCATGCATAGAAACGAGGCTCCTTGATTGGTGGGTCCCATTTATTTGCGTAAAAAAAACAATATAGCAGGTAGAGCACTTACAAGCTGCCGTGGGCGGGTTTGCTTATGCCCCGTGCCCTTGCCCTTGCTGCTTTTATCGTTTGCTGTGTTTGGGGTGTGTGGGGCTGTAATCAGGTCTTGAAGCTTGGCGCGTAGTGCATGGCGCATCTGGGTAGCGAGGATGGGGTGGGGTGGGATGCGGTAGGGTGGGAAGGGAAGGGATGAGATGGGATGGGATGCGATCACAGAAGCAAGGACTCCTGTTTTGTGCCGCATCTCCAACATGAGGAGGCCGGGGAGGTTGGGGAGAATGGCAAACACAGAGTTGCATGGATAGGCACACATGCACACATGCACACAGGCACACATGCACACATGCACACATGCATTCTTACGATCTTGTAACTGCCACGCACCTGCAAGGACTTCTGTGAGCCGCCCGACTCATGCCGCATCTCCACCACTGGGGAGAATGGCAAACAAGCAATAGTGTGAATAAGCACCTGCGCCTATGCACCCATGCATCGAGCAACGCACCTGCAGAGACTCCTGTGTGCGGCCCAATTCGTGCCGCATCTCCACCATGAGGAGGCTGGGGAGAATGGCGAGCAACAAGCAGCTGCATGAATGTGCGCGCGTGCACATGCACCCATGCAACGAGCAACGTACCTGCAGAGACTCCTGTGTGCGGCCCAATTCGTGCCGCATCTCCAGCATAAGGAGACTGGGGAGAATGGCAAACAAGCAATAGTGTGAATAAGCACCTGCGCCTATGCACCCATGCATCGAGCAACGCACCTGCAGAGACTCCTGTGTGCGGCCCAATTCGTGCCGCATCTCCACCATGAGGAGGCTGGGGAGAATGGCGAGCAACAAGCAGCTGCATGAATGTGCGCGCGTGCACATGCACCCATGCAACGAGCAACGTACCTGCAGAGACTCCTGTGTGCGGCCCAATTCGTGCCGCATCTCCAGCATAAGGAGACTGGGGAGAATGGCAAACAAGCAATAGTGTGAATAAGCACCTGCGCCTATGCACCCATGCATCGAGCAACGCACCTGCAGAGACTCCTGTGTGCGGCCCAATTCGTGCCGCATCTCCACCATGAGGAGGCTGGGGAGAATGGCGAGCAACAAGCAGCTGCATGAATGTGCGCGCGTGCACATGCACCCATGCAACGAGCAACGTACCTGCAGAGACTCCTGTGTGCGGCCCAATTCGTGCCGCATCTCCAGCATAAGGAGACTGGGGAGAATGGCAAACAAGCAATAGTGTGAATAAGCACCTGCGCCTATGCACCCATGCATCGAGCAACGCACCTGCAGAGACTCCTGTGTGCGGCCCAATTCGTGCCGCATCTCCACCATGAGGAGGCTGGGGAGAATGGCGAGCAACAAGCAGCTGCATGAATGTGCGCGCGTGCACATGCACCCATGCAACGAGCAACGTACCTGCAGAGACTCCTGTGTGCGGCCCAATTCGTGCCGCATCTCCAGCATAAGGAGACTGGGGAGAATGGCAAACAAGCAATAGTGTGAATAAGCACCTGCGCCTATGCACCCATGCATCGAGCAACGCACCTGCAGAGACTCCTGTGTGCGGCCCAATTCGTGCCGCATCTCCACCATGAGGAGGCTGGGGAGAATGGCGAGCAACAAGCAGCTGCATGAATGTGCGCGCGTGCACATGCACCCATGCAACGAGCAACGTACCTGCAGAGACTCCTGTGTGCGGCCCAATTCGTGCCGCATCTCCAGCATAAGGAGACTGGGGAGAATGGCAAACAAGCAATAGTGTGAATAAGCACCTGCGCCTATGCACCCATGCATCGAGCAACGCACCTGCAGAGACTCCTGTGTGCGGCCCAATTCGTGCCGCATCTCCAGCATAAGGAGACTGGGGAGAATGGCAAACAAGCAATAGTGTGAATAAGCACCTGCGCCTATGCACCCATGCATCGAGCAACGCACCTGCAGAGACTCCTGTGTGCGGCCCAATTCGTGCCGCATCTCCACCATGAGGAGGCTGGGGAGAATGGCGAGCAACAAGCAGCTGCATGAATGTGCGCGCGTGCACATGCACCCATGCAACGAGCAACGTACCTGCAGAGACTCCTGTGTGCGGCCCAATTCGTGCCGCATCTCCAGCATAAGGAGACTGGGGAGAATGGCAAACAAGCAATAGTGTGAATAAGCACCTGCGCCTATGCACCCATGCATCGAGCAACGCACCTGCAGAGACTCCTGTGTGCGGCCCAATTCGTGCCGCATCTCCACCATGAGGAGGCTGGGGAGAATGGCGAGCAACAAGCAGCTGCATGAATGTGCGCGCGTGCACATGCACCCATGCAACGAGCAACGTACCTGCAGAGACTCCTGTGTGCGGCCCAATTCGTGCCGCATCTCCAGCATAAGGAGACTGGGGAGAATGGCAAACAAGCAATAGTGTGAATAAGCACCTGCGCCTATGCACCCATGCATCGAGCAACGCACCTGCAGAGACTCCTGTGTGCGGCCCGATTCGTGCCGCATCTCCACCATGAGGAGGCTGGGGAAAATGGCGAGCAACAAGCAGCTGCATGAATGTGCGCGCGTGCACATGCACCCATGCAACGAGCAACGTACCTGCAGAGACTCCTGTGTGCGGCCCAATTCGTGCCGCATCTCCAGCATAAGGAGACTGGGGAGAATGGCAAACAAGCAATAGTGTGAATAAGCACCTGCGCCTATGCACCCATGCATCGAGCAACGCACCTGCAGAGACTCCTGTGTGCGGCCCAATTCGTGCCGCATCTCCACCATGAGGAGGCTGGGGAGAATGGCGAGCAACAAGCAGCTGCATGAATGTGCGCGCGTGCACATGCACCCATGCAACGAGCAACGTACCTGCAGAGACTCCTGTGTGCGGCCCAATTCGTGCCGCATCTCCAGCATAAGGAGACTGGGGAGAATGGCAAACAAGCAATAGTGTGAATAAGCACCTGCGCCTATGCACCCATGCATCGAGCAACGCACCTGCAGAGACTCCTGTGTGCGGCCCAATTCGTGCCGCATCTCCACCATGAGGAGGCTGGGGAGAATGGCGAGCAACAAGCAGCTGCATGAATGTGCGCGCGTGCACATGCACCCATGCAACGAGCAACGTACCTGCAGAGACTCCTGTGTGCGGCCCAATTCGTGCCGCATCTCCAGCATAAGGAGACTGGGGAGAATGGCAAACAAGCAATAGTGTGAATAAGCACCTGCGCCTATGCACCCATGCATCGAGCAACGCACCTGCAGAGACTCCTGTGTGCGGCCCAATTCGTGCCGCATCTCCACCATGAGGAGGCTGGGGAGAATGGCGAGCAACAAGCAGCTGCATGAATGTGCGCGCGTGCACATGCACCCATGCAACGAGCAACGTACCTGCAGAGACTCCTGTGTGCGGCCCAATTCGTGCCGCATCTCCAGCATAAGGAGACTGGGGAGAATGGCAAACAAGCAATAGTGTGAATAAGCACCTGCGCCTATGCACCCATGCATCGAGCAACGCACCTGCAGAGACTCCTGTGTGCGGCCCAATTCGTGCCGCATCTCCACCATGAGGAGGCTGGGGAGAATGGCGAGCAACAAGCAGCTGCATGAATGTGCGCGCGTGCACATGCACCCATGCAACGAGCAACGTACCTGCAGAGACTCCTGTGTGCGGCCCAATTCGTGCCGCATCTCCAGCATAAGGAGACTGGGGAGAATGGCAAACAAGCAATAGTGTGAATAAGCACCTGCGCCTATGCACCCATGCATCGAGCAACGCACCTGCAGAGACTCCTGTGTGCGGCCCAATTCGTGCCGCATCTCCACCATGAGGAGGCTGGGGAGAATGGCGAGCAACAAGCAGCTGCATGAATGTGCGCGCGTGCACATGCACCCATGCAACGAGCAACGTACCTGCAGAGACTCCTGTGTGCGGCCCAATTCGTGCCGCATCTCCAGCATAAGGAGACTGGGGAGAATGGCAAACAAGCAATAGTGTGAATAAGCACCTGCGCCTATGCACCCATGCATCGAGCAACGCACCTGCAGAGACTCCTGTGTGCGGCCCAATTCGTGCCGCATCTCCACCATGAGGAGGCTGGGGAGAATGGCGAGCAACAAGCAGCTGCATGAATGTGCGCGCGTGCACATGCACCCATGCAACGAGCAACGTACCTGCAGAGACTCCTGTGTGCGGCCCAATTCGTGCCGCATCTCCAGCATAAGGAGACTGGGGAGAATGGCAAACAAGCAATAGTGTGAATAAGCACCTGCGCCTATGCACCCATGCATCGAGCAACGCACCTGCAGAGACTCCTGTGTGCGGCCCAATTCGTGCCGCATCTCCACCATGAGGAGGCTGGGGAGAATGGCGAGCAACAAGCAGCTGCATGAATGTGCGCGCGTGCACATGCACCCATGCAACGAGCAACGTACCTGCAGAGACTCCTGTGTGCGGCCCAATTCGTGCCGCATCTCCAGCATAAGGAGACTGGGGAGAATGGCAAACAAGCAATAGTGTGAATAAGCACCTGCGCCTATGCACCCATGCATCGAGCAACGCACCTGCAGAGACTCCTGTGTGCGGCCCAATTCGTGCCGCATCTCCACCATGAGGAGGCTGGGGAGAATGGCGAGCAACAAGCAGCTGCATGAATGTGCGCGCGTGCACATGCACCCATGCAACGAGCAACGTACCTGCAGAGACTCCTGTGTGCGGCCCAATTCGTGCCGCATCTCCAGCATAAGGAGACTGGGGAGAATGGCAAACAAGCAATAGTGTGAATAAGCACCTGCGCCTATGCACCCATGCATCGAGCAACGCACCTGCAGAGACTCCTGTGTGCGGCCCAATTCGTGCCGCATCTCCAGCATAAGGAGACTGGGGAGAATGGCAAACAAGCAATAGTGTGAATAAGCACCTGCGCCTATGCACCCATGCATCGAGCAACGCACCTGCAGAGACTCCTGTGTGCGGCCCAATTCGTGCCGCATCTCCACCATGAGGAGGCTGGGGAGAATGGCGAGCAACAAGCAGCTGCATGAATGTGCGCGCGTGCACATGCACCCATGCAACGAGCAACGTACCTGCAGAGACTCCTGTGTGCGGCCCAATTCGTGCCGCATCTCCAGCATAAGGAGACTGGGGAGAATGGCAAACAAGCAATAGTGTGAATAAGCACCTGCGCCTATGCACCCATGCATCGAGCAACGCACCTGCAGAGACTCCTGTGTGCGGCCCAATTCGTGCCGCATCTCCACCATGAGGAGGCTGGGGAGAATGGCGAGCAACAAGCAGCTGCATGAATGTGCGCGCGTGCACATGCACCCATGCAACGAGCAACGTACCTGCAGAGACTCCTGTGTGCGGCCCAATTCGTGCCGCATCTCCAGCATAAGGAGACTGGGGAGAATGGCAAACAAGCAATAGTGTGAATAAGCACCTGCGCCTATGCACCCATGCATCGAGCAACGCACCTGCAGAGACTCCTGTGTGCGGCCCGATTCGTGCCGCATCTCCACCATGAGGAGGCTGGGGAAAATGGCGAGCAACAAGCAGCTGCATGAATGTGCGCGCGTGCACATGCACCCATGCAACGAGCAACGTACCTGCAGAGACTCCTGTGTGCGGCCCAATTCGTGCCGCATCTCCAGCATAAGGAGACTGGGGAGAATGGCAAACAAGCAATAGTGTGAATAAGCACCTGCGCCTATGCACCCATGCATCGAGCAACGCACCTGCAGAGACTCCTGTGTGCGGCCCAATTCGTGCCGCATCTCCACCATGAGGAGGCTGGGGAGAATGGCGAGCAACAAGCAGCTGCATGAATGTGCGCGCGTGCACATGCACCCATGCAACGAGCAACGTACCTGCAGAGACTCCTGTGTGCGGCCCAATTCGTGCCGCATCTCCAGCATAAGGAGACTGGGGAGAATGGCAAACAAGCAATAGTGTGAATAAG